TTTTTTTTTTTTGCCGGGATAGGCAGTCTTTCGGGACACACGGTCCTCAAAGGTGGAGAAAGATGAACAAAACCATCCTCAGGGCTGAAAAGCCAGGGCTTCTGAACTATGCAATTGCAGAGGGACTTTCTTTCCAAGCACGGCATTCCCGGTATACCAGAAAGGGGTGGACGAATGTCAGAAGAATGGCAAGCAGGAGCATCACGTTTACCTGCAGGGAGAACAGGAGTGAGGTGAAATCCAGGAATTCTGAACAACAGAATTGTTGCTCAGTGAAGCAAGCACTGGTCCATTCCAAGGCCAATGAAGGGACCAGAATTCTACCGAGTTTATATTCTACTTTTCATTCAAACACTATGGTGCCCTGGAGGAAGCACTTTCAGTTACTTTTTATTCTGAACTATGGGGTGGGGTGGGAGATAATAAGCCCATTTCACAGGTGGAGAATCTGAGGCCTAGCGAGCATTCAGTGACATGCTCAAGGTCACATGGGAAGCTGGTAGAGGCACCAGCTAGAATACAGATCTGATTATTAGGTCACCTGATGTCACAATCAAGTCATTCGCCTCAGACTTCAAGTTTAGTCTTTTGGCCATACACAGTGGCTCATGGCTGTAATAACAGCACTTTGGAAGGCAGAGGCGATCACTGGAGGCCAGGAATTCAAAGCCAGCCTGGGCAACATAACGAAACCCCAGTGTCTATCAAAAAAAATAATAATAATTAGCTGGGAGTGGTGGCACATGCCTGTAGTGTCAGCTACCCAGGAAGCTAAGATGAAAGGATCTCTTGAGCCCAGGAGATCGAGGCTGCAGTGAGCCGAGATTGTGGCACTGCACTCCAGTCTGGGTGACGGAGAAAGACCCTGTCTTCCAAAACAAAAACAAAAAACATTTAGTCTTTCTTTTCTCCAAGTGATGAATTTTAAACTCTTATTCAACAATTTGCTGCTTTAAAAAATGAGGCAAATAGAGCTGTGCAGTGGTCAAAACACTGAATTCAATGTTGAAAGACTTTTGCTCCCTTGCTGGTGCCTCTGAACACATAAGTCATGTAACCTCCATGAGCCTCAGTTTCTGCAAAGAACAGGAGAGGCATGCCCACCTCCTAGGGCAGGGCCCCAGAGCATCCCTCCAGGTGTAAGAACACAGAGGTGAAAGCACAGAGCTCCTGTGCCTGGGGCCAACTGTGTAAACCCAGTGTGGACCTAGGGGAGAGGCCAGGGTAAGCCTGCACTCACCATAAGCAGGGAACACCTTTGAAATCTCAAGTTTTTGAATTTTTGCGAGAATTTCCCACCCTACTCCAGAATGTCTATTTCCCCACACACAAAAATATTTTTGCCCCAAATATTTAAATAACACAGACTCTCTGGGAAGCTGGGCCATGCTACATATCCAGGCCATCACAGCCAGGTTTGGGGCGGCCCCTGCTGAGTCCCTCAGCCTGGATGTCCTGGGGGCAAGGGTCTAAGGCCAAGGCCCCATGCCAGGGATGCCCATCCCCCAGAACTCACGTATAAAGGGTCATTCTGAAGGGGCCCTTTGATGAGGGTGAAGATGGGGAACTGGAGCAGAGACACCACAGCCGACAAGGCCATCACCAGCCCGAAGAGCTTGCCAAAGTGCTCCAACGGGAAACTGGGGAGAGAAACCAGCGGGGTTCCGGTGAGCTTCAAGGACCCTCCCTCCAAGCAGACGCCTGGCCACCGGGGGCTCTGTCAGCCACTTGTCCCCAGTTCCCTTGTCCTAGACCTGCCCTCCACCCATGCCTGCTTGGCCTTGTCCTCTTCACTCAGACGTTCGACCCACAGAACTCAGAGAAGGCACATGCGGGGCCCTGGGCAGAGAGGACCCTCATGCAGGATGCACCAGGGAGGAAAAGACAGACACGTAAATGGATGACATGCCAGACTACACTAGCAAAGGAAGCAAGACTAGAGTACTAAGGACACAAGGAAGGGAATGTGTTTCCATCTCTGCCCTGGAGAGCTGGAACAGAAGTAGGCCTTGGAGGATGAATAAGAGTTCACCTGGTAGAGAACAGAGGCAGAGGGCGCCACAGATGTAAAGCCTCAAGCGCATGAATCTTCTATGCTTCCCATCACCTCTGGTCTCACCCCCTCCACACCTGCCCCCAAACCCAGCCTGCTGCACCTGACCGCCTCCAGGCACAGCCTCACATCCCTATTTCTTTACCTCCAGCTTCTCTTTACCCCAGTGTGTCGCCCTCTACAGAGCCCACCCCAAGGCCACTTACGCAACGGTGAGGAAGGCTGCGTTGCTCCCGTAGAGGAAGGAGCGGCTGATCACTTGCAGGATGAAGGTGAGGTACTGGAGGGGGAGGACGGGGACTGATGCACAGAGGACGAAGCCCAAGGACAGCAGGGACGTCAGGGCCAGTGAAGGCACCGTCGAGCAGAGGGCCACCACCGAAGTGGAGGAACCTGAGCCAACAGGGAGGAAAAGGAGGCTGTCTGGAGACCAACCCAGCAGAGGGCAGGGCAGGGCAGGGCAGGGTAGGGCAGGGCAGGGCCAAGGATGATCGGAAAAAGGGGAGGAGCCACTATCCATCCAGCTGTTCCAGCAGAAACCTGGGAGTCATCCTTGAATCCTTTCTCTACATGGCCCACCTCAAATACATCAATAAAGCTGATCATTCACCTACATATCATTCAGATGTGTCCACTCCTCTCCAACCCCACTGACTCATCCTAGCTTTAAACCACCATTAACTCAGTCATGGATTATTGCAATGATAGGCTCCACATCTGCCCCTCCCCAACCTGAACCTGCAGCCAGATCCTCCTTGTGACGCTACTGGTAATAGCAAAAGACTGGAAACAATCCAAATAGCCGTCAATATGGGAATGCTGCAGCAACTACGCTGCAGCCACATAACAGAGACCCAGGCAGTGGTTAAAAGGCATGAGGAGAGGTCCCAGCTACAGAGCACCCTCAGGATACAGTTACACCCAAAACACCCCTGCAGAATAGTGTGTACCGTATACTGCCTTTTATCTAAAAGAGAGGGAAATGTATTGATATGGTTTGGCTGTGTCCTCATTGAAATCTCACCTTGAGTTCTATCTCCCAGAATTCCCACATGTTGTGGGAGGGACCCAGGGGGAGGTAACTGAATCATGGGGGCCAGTCTTTCCCATGCTATTCTCATGAGAGTGAATAAGTCTCATGAGAGCTGATGGGCTTATCAGGGGTTTCTGCTTTTGCTGCTTCCTCATTTTCTCTTGCCACCACCATGTAAGAAGTGCCTTTCACCTCCCACCATGATTCTGAGGCCTCCCCAGTAAACGTCTTTTTCTTCCCAGTCTCAGATATGTCTTTATCAGCAGCATGAAGACAGGCTAATACATGTATATACACCCACACAATGTTTATATTTTAAAAAATTAAAATGGTTACCTAAAGAAGAGGAAAAGGGATACAAGAAACAGAGAGGGAAACTAAACTTTTTTGAATATATCTTGTTTCACAGTTTTAGCTTTGGGAAAATGGAAATGTCTGAACATTACAAATAAAATTAAATAATAGTAAGAAGAAAACAAGCAAAACATCAGAAACAGGAGAAAATGAAACCAACAAACATAACTCTATACCACGTGGGTGACCCTTAAAATACAGTAATTTGGCCCCATGTGGTGGCTCACATCTACAATCCCAACACTTTCAGAGGCCAGTGTAAGAGGATTGCTTGAGTCCAGGAGTTAGACACCAGCCTGGGCAACACAGACCCTTCCTCTACAAAAAAAAATTTGTTTTAAATTAACCAGACATGGTGGTGCATGCCTGTAGTCCATAGTAATTGGGAGGCTGAAGGGGGAGGATCACTTGAGCCCAGGAGGTTGAGGCTGCAGTGAGCCGTGGTCATACCACTGTACTCTAGCCTGGGCAACAGAGTAAAACCTCATCCCGAAAAATAAAAAAGAAAATATGGGAATTTGCTTGTACATCTCTCATGGGATATATCCTAAGGATGAGAAAGGAAGGAGGAAGGACAGAAGGAAGGAAAGAAAGAAGTAGCAAGAGTATTGAGCAATTGCACTGTTATCAAGTAACATCAATATTGATAAAACCAGTAATTATATTTAAAATACCACATATGTGTATGTACATTTGTATATGCATATGTATATAGTATTGTTAGGAACCAAGATTATCAGAGGAAGAGAAAGGGCTACAAATATAAAATCAAGGAAATAAAAATTTGAATAAAAATATCAGTAGTAAGTATTTATGGTATTTTTCTTATAAAAAATTATATACATGCTAATGCTGTCCAAAGCCCAAAAGCAATGACAGCCCAGGAGCAAAAAGAAACCCCAGCATCCAGACTGCAGTCTCTAAAATACCATTTCCAACTGAAGAAACCCAGGGCTAGTTGGGAAAAAAATGACTATTTCAGGTCTAGGGCAGGAAACATACCTAGTGAAATGGACCTGAACATTTCATTGTTCTAGAAAGTAAGTTCACTGTCTAAAAATAATGTGATTTCATCTAAAAGACACAAATTCTGGGTTGGTAAAGTTTTCAATGGTCAAAGGTGAGATAATTTGAGCATCAAGAAGAACAATGACAGAACAGATTGAAACACGTCAAATATATTTAAACATAAAACTTTATAAAAGAAACAGTAGCCATCCCTGGAGCTCACTAGGACACCAACTCATTATTTTGAACTGGTAAATAAACCTGTAAACCAAGCATTTATTTCTAAGTAACAAAATAGTAAGGAACGTTTTTCTTTCTAGAAGAATTCTAGCAATGAAAAGAAGAAGATAATAGAAAATCATCCTTTGGCCAGGCGTGGTGTCTCATACCTGTAATCCCAGCACTGTGGGAGGCCTAGGCAGGTGGATCACCTGAGGTCAGGAGTTCAAGACCAGCCTGGACAACATGGCGAAACCCCATCTCTACTAAAAATACAAAAGTTAGCCAGGCATGGTTGTGGGTGCCTGTAATTTGAGCTACTCAGGAGGCTGAGGCAGGAGAATCACTTGAACCTGGGAGGTGGAGGTTGCAGTGAGCTGAGATTGCACCACTGCACTCCAGCCTGGGCAACACAGTAAGGCTCCGTCTCCAAAAAAAGGAAAAGAAAAGAAAAGAAAATCATCCTTTTGCAATCCTAATAAAATAATGGGCCTAGGCATTGATAATTAATGGCTGCTAAAATCACAAAGTATATGGTTGATGGGAAACTTTATAGTGGATGGACCAGACTGGCAATGTCTAAACCAGTTGATCAATCTTAACATTGTAACAAGGCAACAGACACCAGGGACTGCTGATGGGAGACCAGAAGAAACGCACAGCTCCACTCTGAGTTATTCGTGCCAAAAAAAAAAAAAAAAAAACACTTAAACTGTGTCTCCCCTAAGCCTTTAATCCCACTGTTTATAGAAAATACCCAAGGAAAGGAATACTTTTAAATGACACATTAAAACAACACCAAATTCAAAATAAGGGAAAATCAGCCAGTGTCTTCAACAAATAAACAAGAAAAGGTAGGGGAAGGACTGTTCTAGATTTTAAAAGCTACAGAAGACGCATCGACCAACTACATTGCATGCACCAGGCATGGATCCTAATTTGAACAAACCAACTGTAAAAAGATGTATCTGTAACGACTGGAGGAACTTGAATAGTGACTACATAGTAGATGACATTAAGAAATTACTGTTATTTTTTCAGGTGTGATAATAATTTTTATGGTGATGTTTAAGTGAAAGAGGCCTTATTTGTTAGAGATACATTTACGGGTATAGAAATACATTTATGGGTAAAATGATATGATGTCTGAGATTTGCTTTGAAAACTCCAGCAGATGTGGGAGAAGCAGGTTCGTGGGGTCAGGGAAGGGACAGATGAAATAAGGAGACAAAATGTTAGTCTACTTTTGTACCTCCTAACCCAGCAGGTTAAAATACCTCAGAATCCCTCTACTCCTCCAACCATGTCCAAGGATCAGGCCAAAACTCTCTGATGTGGTAAACAGCTTGACCCCTTCTTATATATATATCTCTCTCCAGCCTCTCCCCTAAGATTCCCCAGTGCTCTGTGCCCCGGCCAGCCTGACTCACCTGCCTAGATTCCTCAATGTTTCACTCTCTCGTGCACTATTTTGACCCCACTGTGCTCCCGGGCCACTCTCCAAGGCCTCACCTCTTCATCTCCCCCAATCTTACTCATCCTTCAGGTCTTGGCTTAGATGCCACCTCCTCCAGGAAGCCATCCCTGACACCAACCCCATCCTCACCCAGAACAGATTATGTGACCTTTGTGTCCCCATGGCCCCCTGTGGGTTTGCTTCATGGATTGTAACTGCCTACCTGCCTTTCTCCACCCTCTAGACTGAGAACACCTTGAGAAAAATAACACACCTGTCTTGTCTGTTGCTGAATCCCCAGTGTTTAGCACCATGGCTGACACATAACTGTCACTCAGCGACTAATGTTTTAATGAATGAATGAATGAATGAGTGCAACTAGACAGGGTTAAGAACAAAAGAGAAGGCCGAGCACAGTGCTTCACACCTGTAATCCCAGCACTTTGGGAGGCTGAGGCAGGCAGATCACCTGAGGTCAGGAGTTTGAAACCAACCTGGCCAACATGGTGAAACCCCATCTCTACTAAAAACACAAAAATTAGTTGGGGATGGTGGCACATGCCTGTAATCCCAGCTACTCAGGAGGCTGAGGCAGGAGAATCTCTTGAATCCCGGAGGCGGAGGCTGCAAGGAACTGAGATCACACCACTGCACTCCAGCCTGGGCGACAGAGTAAGACGCTGGTCAAAAAAAAAAAAAAAAAAGAAAGAGACGATGCCATGGGGCAAATGAAGACCTCCCTTGCTGGTTTCCTGATCCCCGTCTCACCTGTCTTTCTTGCTTCCTTCTGGTACTTCTGTTTAAGCCGGTCCATGAGCATACCATTCCAGGGGGCAACCAGCACTCCAAACTGAGTGAAGGCGAAGGCATTTGTGTAGCTGCTGACTGCAGAGGGCAGAGAGGCTGGTTGATGAGAAGTTTCCAAAACTCCCTTTCAGGCAGGGACTCTGCCACCCTGCCCTTGCCCTGCACGTCCCTCCTCCCCACACCATCAGGCCCTCTTCGGGTGTGCACAGCCCTGCTGGGAGGTTCTATGTTTCCAGCTGGGATGTGCAGACGGGCTACTGCCACATACCTAATTCCTTGTCCTCCCGGGCCATGTTGGTCAGCAAGGAGTTGAGAGTGCCAATGAAGAGGTAGTGCCACAACTGTATCATAGACAGCCACACCAGGTGCCAGGCAAAGCGCCGAGAGAAAGCGTAGCTCCAGAAGGAGCGGGCTTCCTGCTGCTGCCCTGCTCCTGGGGTTTCTAATGAGGAGAGGAGGATCTGGGTGTGAATTACAAGGGAAGTGGACAGGCAGGATGGGGAGTGTGGAGGCCTCAGTGGAACCGTTTCAGGTCCAGGCTCACCTTCTACCCTTGGCTCCCGGAACTCACCCTGCGTGCTCTGCGCCTGCCTGGGACTCACACATCCCCACCTCCCTGCTTTGTCATGCTGGCCCTACCACCTTGGATGACCCTCTATGTTCTTCTCTGTCTATTGAAATCTGATCTGTCTCTCACAGCCTGGTCAATGACACTTCTTGCAGTAATACCTTCCTGATCTTTCTCAGCCAGAAAGGTGAAAGAAACGACAAGGAGAGGAGAAAGTCAGAGGGGAGAGGAGGATGAGTGTGGGCACTCCTGTTCTAACCTGCTCCTCGGCGCCTCCCTTTCTTTTGGTACTAGTATCCTGAGTTTCCCTAGGAAATCTTCCTCTACCGTAATCTTCATGGTCCAAATGGGACGATGAATTCAGTGTCCTGTTCTTCTGTCAAGGTTAACCCATGAGACAGTTCCTCCTAACAAGGCAGACTGGCCGTGAGTTTAGATTAGGATGAACCTAATCTAAAATAGGTCTTAGACCTGGCAAGTTCAATTTCCTCCCCTGACTTTGGAAGCTTCCCAGAACCCTATTCTTCTTTCTTTAAAATAAATAAATAAGGCTGGGTATGGTGGCTCATGCCTGTAATCCCAGCACTTTGGGAGGCCTCGGGAGGTAGATCACAAGGTCAGGAGTTCAAGACCAGCCTGGCAAAGATGGTGAAACCCGGTGTCTACTAAAAATACAAAAAAAATTAGCCAGGGGTGGTTGGGCACCTGTAATCCCAGCTACTAGGGAGGCTGAGGCACAGAATTGCTTGAACCCGGGAGGTGGAGGTTGCAGTGACCCGAGATCATGCCACAGCACTCCAGCCTGAGAGACAGAGCAAGACTCCGCCTCAAATAAATAAATAAATATTTTGGATCCAGTTGTCAGATGGTAAAAATAAAAACAAAAAAAATCAATTTTATTGTGTATATTTAAGATATTCAATATGATGTCACAGGATACATATAGCTACAAAGACGGCTACTATAGTGAAGCAAATCGTCTTACATTTCTACCTGTTTTGTGGCAAGAGCAGTTAAAATCTCCTGTTTAGCAAAGTCCCAAACACAACGCAATTTGATTACCTACAGTCTCTACGCTGTGCATTAGACCTTTTCATCTCTAGACCTTTTCATCCTGCTCCTCTGCTCCCCATGTCCTTTGACCCATGCCTCCCATCTCCTCTCCCACCCCATTCTTATTTCCACTGTAAACAGCTGCGGTTTGTGTAACCAAAGATGCAGAACAGAGAGAAAGGAAAGGAGGCAGTGATGGAGTTGGGACAATAAGAGAGGGCAGACCCAAGAGACCTGGAGAAATGGGGACATTGCACCAGACTTAGTACAATGGCATCACAGAAGAGGGCAGAACCGAGGAGTGGGAGGTAGGGAAGGCAACCTGTGGAAGGCAGCCTTCAGGGGATGGGAATGTGATGGGGACATGAAAGAGAGAAAAGACGGACAGAAAAGAGACAAAAGCCCTGCCCCTCTCTGGACCCTCCATTAAGTGAGGGTGTTGGGAAGACGCCTAAGGTTCCGTCTCTGCCCTACGTTTCCTGATTCCCGGTCCCTGAGGGAATTCTGGAAATGAGGAGCCAGGAAAGGCACAAGGAGAGGCTCGGGTCTGGAGGAGCGATGGGTTAGCCAGCAGGGCTCACCTTCCTTGGCTGAAAGGAACTCCTTTGACTGTAGCTCCCTGTTTTCTTGCTCAGCTGTTTCCTTCTCTTCCTTCGTGGTGCCATTCCCAGAGCACAGGCTATGGAAACAGAAGCCCCACCGGCAGGGCCAAGGACTGTGAGCTGAACCTGAGACTCCGACTGGAGGGAACAGTATGGGGAATCCCACATTTCACTGCACTTCAGAATCACCTTTTAGCCACCCTGATGCCCAGGCTGCAGACCAGACCAGTTAAATCAGATGTCTGGAGGTGAGAGCCAGGCTTCCTTTTCTAAGCTCTCTATGTGAATCTAGTGATTCTAATAGGCAGCAAATTTGGGAAGCACAGGAAGCATGAAAAGAGCGGGGCAGGCCCAGGTTCAAATCCCGCTCTGCCTCCTCCTAGCAGCAGAAAGGTAGCTCAGACTTAACCCGTCTGAACCTCATTTTTCTCATTTAGAAAATAGAGATAAGGCTATCTGAGAGGAGTATTGTGAGGATGGAATCAGAGAGCACATGGGGACTGACAAACAGTAAGTGAGCAGCAAAGGAATACCCTCCCCCTACTCCTTGCGGCAACTGACTGCAAAAATGATCACATTTCTTCGCCTCCTCTGTATTTCCCCCTTTTGAATGAGACTTTGCAGCTCTGTTTCCCCATGCCCTGAATCTGGGCCAGCCTTGTGAACTGCTTCAGCCAAAAGAATGCAGCAGAAGTGGTTGTGCCAATTCCAAGCCTAAACCTCAAGAACACTTGTGCATTTCTTCGCTCTTTCAGAACTCTGAAATCACTGTGTGAATGAGCCCACGCTGGCTTGCTGGAGGATGACAGCTATGTGACCCAGGCATCCCTGTTACTCCAAACCCACGTGAGTGAGGCCATCCTAGCGTATCCAGCCCCCAAGTCGCCCTCCGAATGATCAGATGCGTGAATGAGCCCCCGTCAAAATCATCTACATCTGGCCCTGATCAGTAGAACTAGCCAGCTGCCCACAGACTTGTGAAAAATAACAAATGCTTAACGTTTTAGGCTGCTGTGTTTTGAGATCATTTGTTATGCAGCAATAGCTAACAGATACGCTGCTCCCATCTTCCTCCTCTCCTGTGACAGGTTTGCTTTGCCCTGTCCATCCCACCCTAGGGCCAATGAGGGGCCCTGGCCCACAGTCATCAGAGAGTCCTTACCCATAGCTGTAGTTGGGGGGCAGTGGGTAGGGGATGTGGCCCCGGGGCATCAGGAGGAAAGTTCGTGCTACATGCCAGGTACTGCAGACAGAGAGGAAGATGAAGGAGGCCCTGAGGCTGATGCCCTTTTCATAAAGAAGCTGCAGAAGGAGGAGGAAAAAGTCAGTGTCACACTCATGTACGCGGCAGTACTATTCGCAACAGCCAAAGGATGGAAGCAACCTAAGGGTCCGTCAGCATATGAACAGCTCAACATAATGTGATCTCTACACACAATGGAATATTATTCAGCCTTAAAAAGAGGAAGGAGGACAGCATGCTTACACCTATCATCCCGGCACTTTGGGAGGGAGGAGGATCAGTTGAGTCCAGTTCAAGACCAGCCTGGACAGCATACAGAGACCCTCACTCCTCTACAGATTTTTTTCTTTAAATTAGCTGGGTGTGGTGGCACACACCTGTAGTCCCAGTTACTCAGGAGGCTGAGGAGGGAGGATTGCTTGAACCCAGAAGTTTGAGGCTACAGTGAGCCATGACCGGGCCATTGCACCCCAGTCTGGGCAATGAAGCCTGACTTTGTCTAAAAAAAAAAAAAAATGGGAAAGAAATTCTGACACGTGCTACATGGATGAACCTTAAGAACACCAGGTGGGGCCAAGCAAAGTGGCTCGTGCCTGTAATTCGAGCACTTTAGAAGACCGAGACAGGAGAACTGCTTGAGTCCAGAAGCTTGAGATCAGCCTGGGAAATAGCAAGACCCCATCTCTACTAAAAATAAATAAATTAGCTGAGCGTGGGGTGCCTGCCTGTGATCCCAGCTACTCAGGAGGCTGAGGGGAGAGGACAGCTTGAGCCCAGGAGTTTAAAGCTGCAGTGATCCATGACCAGGCCACTGCACTCAGCTTGAGCAATGGATCAAGACCCTGTTTCAAAAAAAAAAAAAAGAAACATTATGCTAAGAGAAATAAAAGGACACATTCTGTATGATGCTACTCATAGGAGCTACCAGTGTAGTCAGATTCATAGAGAAAAAAATTAGAATGATGCTTGCCAGAGGCTGGAGGGGCAGGGAAGGGGACGGAAGGAAAAATGGGAAGTTAGTGTTGAATGGTACAGATCCAATTTTAGAAGATAAAAAAGCGTTCTGGAGATGCATGGTGGCGATGATTGTACAGCAACATGCATGTACTTAAGGCCAGTGAACTGCACACCTAACTGTGGGTAAGGCAGGGCGTGGTGGCTCATGCCTGTGGTTCCAGCACTTTGGGAGGCTGAGGCAGGTGGATCACTTGAGGCCAGGAGTTCCAGATCAGCCTGGTCAACACAGTGAAACCTCATCTCTACTAAAAATACAAACGTTAGCTGGGCATAGTGGCACGCACCTATAATCCCAGCTACTTGGGTGGTTGAGGCAGGAGAATCACTTGAACCCGGGAGGAGGAGGTGGCAGGGAGCCAAGATCGTGCCACTGCACTCCGGCTTGGGCAACAGAGTGAGACTCTGTCTCGAAAAAAACAAAATACAAAAGGTTAAGATGGTAAATTTTATGTTATGTATATTTTATCACACACAAAATCATCAGCATAAGATGTCAGAGGCAGGAGCTGGAGCTCTGCTTTCCAAGGAGTCCTAGTACAAGCTGTCGCCTACCGTCCTGGAAGCTGATTAGGGACACCTGGTACACACATGCCCCCACCCCAAGACACACCTGGCAGTGGAGGAGTCCTCGTATAACCCATCCCTACGGCCTGTGAAGCCGCCTCGTGTGGCTCCCCAGAGATCTTCTAGCCCAGTGCCTATTCCCACAGTAACAGCAAAGGCCTTTTGTTCAAAGAAAATTCTACACAAAAATTCAACTTAGAAAACACACTAACAGAAAGCTTGCCAGTCCCCTCCGTCTGCATTCTCCTTGGTGACCGCCATGGCATCAAAGAGAAGCCCTAAGTTCCTCAACACTCCGTTTGAAAACCACTGACCTCGCGCAGCCTCCTCCCATTTTACAGAGAGTGACACTGAGGTCCAGAGAGGTGCAGTGAGTTGCTCAGTGAATTGTCAGAGTAAGCAGCAGCAAAATCAGATTAAACTAAGAATTCCCGCTCCTGCTTCCTCTCCCCTTCCAACTCTAGAGAGAGAGGTGAGAAGCTGGGCATGGTGGCTCATGCCTGTAATTTCAGCACTTTGGGAGGCCAAGGAAGGCAGATTACTTGAGGTCAAAAGTTTAAGATCAGCCTGGTCAACATGGAGAAACCCCATCTCTGCTAAAAATACAAAAATTAGCCAAGCGTGTGGTGGCACACCTATAGTCCCAGGTACTCGGGAGGCTGAGGCAGGAGAATTGCTTGAACCGGGAGGTGGAGGTTGCAGTGAGCCAACATTGCACCAATGCACTCCAGAATGAGAGTCCATCTCAAAAAAAAAAAAAAAAAAAAAGGCTGGGCACAGTGACTCACACCTGTAATCCCAGCCCTTTGGGAGGCTGAGTCAGGCAGATTGCAAGGTCAAGAGATCGAGAGCATCCTGGCCAACATGGTGAAACCCCATCTCTACTAAAAATATAAAAAATTAGCCGGGCATGGTGGCACATGTCTGTAGTCCCAGCTACTTGGGAGGCTAAAGCATGAGAAATCGCTTGAACCTGGGAGGCGGAGGTTGCACCACTGCACTCCAGCCTGGCAACAGAGTGAGACTCTGTCTCAAAAAAAAAAGAGAGAGGAGAGAAAGGGAGGAACACCCAGGGGAGGGAGGGAGAGCCTGGAAAGTGGCTCTCATGCCTGAAGTGGGAAGGCTTGAGTGCGCCAGCAGCTCAGTCTCTGCATGACCCTCCAAGCCAAGGTGTTTATGGGACTCAGCTAGACCCACGTCTGGGTGGGGACTGCCAGAGATCGTCTTCTCTGCCCCCATAACCCACAGGCAGTGCCGACTGCCTCTGGCCCAACACTAAGCCCTGATAAAAGTCCCAGGTTGGGTGGCTTGAGATTCAGACTCTTCCATTCCTTTCACTCAGCCATCTGCAGAACAAGGTAATTGTTCTCCAGCTTGTTGCCTCATAATCGAAGCATGGTTGCCATAGCTCCAGCTATCACATCCTCCCACCGCAAAATTCAAGGAGGAAGGCTTTGTTTTTACTCTGCTTTCACCTTCCATCAGGGAAGAAATGTCCCCTGGAGTCTTCTACTATATATGCCCCCTTTATCTGATTAAAAAGGACCTGATCATAAGCCCACCTCCATCCATCATTAGCAAGGGGTAAAGGGATTGCCACGGTTGGCTTTGATCAATCAGGATTCATCCCCTGGGCTAAGCAGGTCACTGCCCAGATAAAACTGCCCGCAATGAATAAGGCAGAATGGTTGTTGATTGACCTCTAATAGCCTTGGCAACCATTTATCCCCTGATATCCCAACATCAGACACAGCTGGACAAGCCTCTGTGTGTGCCCCTGCTGTGCCTACTAGCCACTTGCTACCTTCTTTTCCAAACTAGAAGCTCACAGCAGCAAACACCCCCCTCTAAAGGGCTCCCAGCCTCTGCCCAACACCGGCCCAAGCACATCATGACCACTGCCACAAACGCTTGGGCAAGGTTGAAGAAGGGGCTTAGTGGTTACAGGCTCTGGCTCTAGAAGCAACAAGCCTGGGTTCAAGTTCAAGTATCATGGTTATTAGCTGCAGAAACTTCAACAAGCTTCTTAACCTCTGAGACTCAAATGCTTTGTCTGTAAAATGGGGGTAGGTAACACAGTACCTACCTCACTGAGTTGATGGACAGAAATAATGCAAGGTTCACAAGACAAGCGTCTGGCATATACAAGGGCTCGATGGATGTTGGCTATTGCTGTATTTACCTTAATAATAAGGAAGACTGCCGAGGAAGAGTCAAATGCTCCATTGTAGAGAGTGATGATGGTCGAACGGTGTTGGCCAAATAGGTTCCCAATCTGGGGATGGTAGGATCATCCTGAATCACATATTTATTCATGAAGCAGGCACTTCCTGAGCACGTGGCAGGGCTTGCTTATACCCTAACCCGCCCTCCACCCCTACAGACCCCACCTCAGCTTGGGCCAGCCCCATCTGAGGCAGCCAATTGTAGAAAAGGGTCTCTCCTTCCCTCCACCTTCCCTCCACCCTGCCAAGTGCCCGGGATTAGGGTAGGTTCCCACCTGCAGGTTGGTGATGAGAAACAGGATTCCCCCAACGGACAGCAGTGGCATGGCCAGGAAGAGCAGCACAGCTGAGCCTGAACCATCAAAATCAGAGGTAGGGTGGTGCCACAGGGCAACCCAAACATGGAGCCCCAAACTCTGCTCCCACCTGCTCCAAATTCCCAACAATCCTGGTGTCCAGGCCCCAGTTCTAGCCAGCCTTCAGGTATCCTTCAAGGGTTTTTAGGATACTGGCCTAGGCTTCCCCAGGTATCTCTGTGGGTCCTGAGCCACCTTCTTCCCCACCAAAGTTGGTGCTCAGTCTGTGGCAGGCCAGGAAGCCTACAGAGTCAGAGCTCTAAGCCACCTCTTTTCCCTCAGGAAACCACAAACTGCCTCTCCTTTTCATTCTTGACACTCCAGGAGAAGACAACCCTGGACTTAGGCACCTAGCTCAACCCTCAAGCCCAGCCCCTCATTCATGGCATTGGCCCTGAGCCTCAGTCATCTTATCTGTTAAATGGGAACAACAGTCCCTCCTCTTCCTGCTTCAGGTGCTATGAGAACTGTGTAGGAAAAGGATGATGGTCTTTTCTTTGTTCACTAAAATCAACACTTTCTTGGTGCCGGGCATTGTGCTTGGCACTGGAAACGCAAGACGAATAAAAGATACTCCTTGCCCTTAGGTAGACTGACATGCAAACAAATGGTTATAACAGGTCCAGTAAGTGACAGCAGGAAAGCTCAAGAGCTGGGGTAAGGGAACCCTTGACAAATGAGTCCTCCCCAAACCAGACTTCTGCCCGCCACTATTTTGGCCCTAAACCATGCCTGTCCTATTATTTGCTAAAAATGTTTTAAGTTGACTCACTTTTATCCAAAAGAAATCTCTTTTTAAAGGACACTTTCTATCACTACTGTAGATGAAAACACGGGCATTGCTTGTCATGAATAGAAAGTAACTGTAAAAATAAATACAATGAAAGGAAAACAATGCTATTCAACTGCAGCTGGACACAGTTGCCCTTAGCACGTTCAAAGCCTGAGACCCGCTCGTCTCCTCAGTGTTAAAATTCACACCAGCCACACATCAAGACATTCTTTCATGAAATCAGAAGGACTGAAAGAGAAATAAAAAGGGAATCGCTGTTCTGCCAGGTGATTTGATGTTTATCAGTGTAGCTGTGTAGTGTGTGCGTCCCTAACATCCTCTTAAGTACTGTGCTGTCCCTTAAGAAGCACTGCCAAGAGCTAATTTTAGAGTATTCACACCATTTACCATTCAATTTCTGTCTTTATGAAATGTACATCTCTCCTATTGCTAAAGGCGGGAGACTCTCCTTTCACAATAGAGTTCTTGTGGCCTCAGTGCTTTTTCCAAAACCAAAAAGCCCTGTGTTATGGAGGAAGAGCAGGATTGCTGCTCAGGCGATTTGCAAGAGAGTGACACACATTACCCAGCCACCACCTCCACATTTGGGCGCTTGAAAATCATTTACAGGCTTTTAGAGGAGAGGACGCTGGTTTGATAAGGAGAGTGGTTTGAAATAATTGGTTTGGGGTGCCCGGCCATCTCAGGAGATCTGTGTGGACAAAGACGTGCAGCCTCCGTGTTTGCCCAGCATGAGTGCAGACAGCCCCGTGACGCTGTTGGGATTTAGCGTAGCTTATACACACTAATGTACCCTTCTTTCCTAAACCCAAAATTGAGCTGTGGGTGTGACACTAGGGAGGAACATTCGGAGGCATCCCGGGGCCAGCATAACCAAGGCAGTGAGAGAAAGCAGAGTCAGGGGTCAGGAGGCCTGCACACCACACCCACCTCCCTCTCACTTTCTCTGTGGCTGTGGGCGTGTCTTTGCAAGGGGTCCCTCTGTGGTCTCAGTTTCTCCTCTGTGTAATGGGTGGAAGGGCAGTGGAGAATAAACCAGATTGGAATCCCAGACTTATAGACTGGTAAAATTTAAAAACAAAGATTTTGAGTCCAACAAGGTTGTCAGCTTTTACCCTGCTAAGGATATTTTCAAAATGGTCATTCATATAATCATTTCATTAAAAAGAGAAAGAGAATATTTTAATACATACAAGAAGGATGGAAAGGTTTGTTGTTCTTGCTGTTTAGGTTTTTTTCTTTTTTTTGAGACAGAATCTCACTTTGTCACCCAGGTGGCAGTACAGGGGCGTGATCTTGGCTCACCGCAACCTCTGCCTCCTGGGTTCAAGCAATTTTCCTGCCTCAGCCTCCAGAGTAACTGGGATTATAGATGTGTGCCACCGTCCGGCTATTTTTTGTATTTTTTTAGTAGAGAAGGGATTTCACCATGTTGGCCAGGCTGGTCTCAAACTCCTGACCTCAGATGATCCACCTACCTCAGCCTCCCAAAGTGCTGGGATTACAGGAGTGAGCCACTGTGCCTGGCCAGATGTGAAGTTTTGAATAAATTGTACTCTCTAAAGTAACCCCTCTCCATTGTCCTTCCTTTTCACATTTTCTCCATAGACTAAACTGTTTTCACAGAGCAGCAACAGTTCAATATCCTTCCAGGATTCTTTCAAGCTGTGGATCTCTGAATCACCATGTGGTCTATATGTGTTGCCTATGGCCCTCTGCACCTGCCCCAGCCACCAGGTGCCCTGAGCTTCCTTCCCGCCCACCCCGCCTCACAGCACTCACCTGCAGAGGTGAAGGCTATGATGAGTGTGGCAGTGGTGTAGAAAAATCTGAAACACACAACAGGAAAAGTAGAATGTTGTCAAGGAGGGAGAAACCTGGGAGATAAAACACAATCTGTCACCCAACCCACAGGTATAGGACTTGACCACACCCTCAGCCTGGGATGCCCCGGCACTGATGTCTCTGAGCCCCGGGCTCAGAACCAGCTGTGAGAAGCTGCGATGAGATTGAGATGTGGTCCTGACCTCACGGACAGTGCATTTTGCTCATTCTGAGGCCCAAGGCTAGCATGAGGAGTCTTGGCCAATGAGCTGACGATGTGATTGGCTTGGGATTTAGCCAAGACAGAGTGGGCAAAGCCAAAGTCCTCCCACCTAGAAGCCCTAACAGCCTGATCCCCTGGAGAAAGCGGTTAGTGCCTAGTCTGCAAATCAACATCTTGAGTTCCAGCTCATCCTCATTGTGAGACCTTGGGCAAGGCGCTGTCCTTCTCTGGGCCTCAGAAGCCTTTTCTTTTTTATTTTTATTGCATTTTAGGTTTTGGGGTACATGTGAAGAACATGCAAGATTGTTGCATAGGTACACACATGGCAGCGTGATTTGCTGCTTTCCTCCCCTTCACCTATATCTGGCATTTCTCCCCATGCTATCTCTCCCAACTCCCCACCTCCCACTGTCCCTCCCCTATAGCCTTTTCTATAAAAAGAAATAATTGGGCCAGACGCAGTGGCTCATGCCTGTAATCCCAGAACTTTGGGAGGCTGAATTGGTCAGATCATGAGGTCAGGAGTTCAAGACCAGCCTAGTCAACATGGTAAAACCCCATCTCCAGTAAAAATACAAAAATTAGCCGGGCATGGTGGTGTGCGCATAATCCCAGCTACTGGGGAGGCTGAGGCAGAAGAATCGCTTGAACCCAGGAAGCAGAGGTTGCAATGAGCCGAGATCACACCACTGCATTCCAGCCTGAGCGACAGAGCAAGACTCTGTCTTCAAAAAAAAGAAAGAAAGAAAGAAAGAAAGAAAGAAAGGACTGATCTAGCTCAGAGTGCTGTGATTTCAGGACTACAGTCTCAAAGCTATAAGGATCCCTTAGCATTTGGGGGTCTTGTAAGGCATGCAGTAATAAAAGCCATGTTCTAAGGCTGGAGAAGAGGAAGGGGGCAAAGAAGGGGAGGAAAGAGAGGGGGGCAGGGAGCCAAAGACCAACAAGGACTGAGATACAGTCATTCTGCACCCAAAGGTTTAAAATGTAAGGGACTGGCTTTACTCTCTGGCTATTTCCAAAAAGGGAAACCCAGCCAGCCCTCTGTCCCTCTTTCTGACAACTGATCTCACACGTGCCTCCCTGGAAACACCTGCTCTGAACTGTATCAGCCCCCAGCAGGCCGCTGATTATCACTGAGCCTGGCCACAGAGCACGAGATTAGGGTGCAAGCACACGCTGTGTGCGTGAGATCACACCCCAAACCTCCTGACTCATCTGCACAGGAAACCCCACTGTCTCGTCTCCCCTCCAGTCAGAAGGGACCTGAAATTCCACCAGTGGCAATACCGAGGAAACTTCCTGTTAGCTAAGCCCCTGGGGAGTGATGGTGGAGGTGCAGGGAGCGAGGAGAATGAGGATGAAGCCTGAGCAACGTGGATGTGAGGCTGTGCTAGGGATGAGGACAGGGATCCTCGGGCTGAAGGAAGAGAGGAGTAATTTTAAGTTTTGCTAATTTTGTAACCCTGGCTCCAAGCCAGCCCTTACAGGAAGTCAGCCTGGCCTTGGCTCAATTCAGCACGTGATAGGGAAGCCACATTCTTACAGAGCAGGGAAAGAGGTGAGGAAACGGAAGCGAGGCTGTGGGAAGTGGCTGAGTCCAGAGAGTCCCGCTGCCTGGGGCTGCTCCTAACAGCTGCTGGGAGTGAGCTTCGGGTGTGGGGCCTGGCAGGGTGGCCGAGCTGTCTGACCTGGATTTCACTCCAAGCGCGGCTGCTGCCTGAGGGGTCCCACTTGCCCACGTTTGCCTGGGCTGGGCCTTTGGGACTTACATGGCTATGAGGCGTGCCACGGTGGTCTTGAACCGGTCAAAGACATAGCCGCTGGGGAACGTCATGAAGTTGTTCATGAAGGACGCGATGGTGAAGATGAGTGAGAACCTCTCATCCTGGACTTTGCAATCTGGAGGGGAAAAAAAAGGTCTCCCATGCATTCCAGCCTTCCCGCCAAATAAGCACACAGCCCGGGTTCCGCCCACCTCGGACAGCTTGCCGGTGGCAAAGTTGTCCCTTAAGTTGAGCTGAAATGTGACTGCCCCTAATGACCCCTCAGGAGCTGGTGCCTCCCTCCCAGGCACTTCCCAGACCCAGTGGGATGAGGGCTACTGACCCTTCCCCTCACCATAGAAAGGCTGGATGGGTGAACAGGGAGCCAAATCCTACCTACCCCTTGCCACCACCTGGGAGCCAGACCTAACTTCCTTAGAAAAGTTCGCTCTGCCCTTACCAGCCTGCTCTGTGGCATTGCCAATCAGCCCAGCATCTGGTTCACACAGCTTTTCAAAGTAATGCTCTTTCTTGAAGACAAACACGAGTGAAGGCCAGCCAAAGAGGACGCCTGCAAAGCACAGGCATTCCAGCAGCCCCGTCAGCAGGGTGGCCAAGTGCAGGGGCAGGCCCAGGCCCGCCATGGCCAGAGGCGGAGTGGATCCTCAAATCCCACTTTATCCTCCTGGATCTATCACAGGCCCTGTAAGCCTGGCGTTTGAGCACTTGGAAAATTCCGCTGGCAAGCCAAGGCCTTCCCTTCCCGTAGCTCTCTGGTTCTGCTGCAGGCCTGGGCCAAAACCATCAGCGGGTGATTCTCTGGGTCCTGTGAAATAAAGACAGAGGCTGCTGGAAGAGGAGGCTTGCGGGAAAGGTAAAGGACTAGAGTTATTTGTGGGGTGCAGTAAGAGGCAGGGTGATCATGGCCACTGGCAGCAAATGTGGGGGAAAACCACTCCAATACATCATTTCAGGCACTGCATCTGAGTAACCACGTGGCAAGTAGAGAGGCAGGTCTTCATGGCCACCTGGAGTCACAGGTGAGATAAACGACTTACCCAGTAGCTCCCCCAGCAGCAGATGGAGAAGCGGAGCTCCTGTGCTCGAGTTCTGAATACCGTCCGCTGAAATAATGACAGCAACTCATCCAGGTGCAGGGGCAGGGAGGCTTTATGCCGAACACACAAACTCCTGCTGCCAAGTTGGTGTTGTTATCTTCAGTTTATTGACAAAGCAACAAAAGCTCCCGCGGATTTCAGGAACTTGCCCAAGGTCACAGGGCTGTGTAGTCACAACGCAGGCCAGGCTACTGCCAGAAAGACTCCAACCCCCAGGACCCTGGCCTAGGACTCCCAAGCCTGGCCCCCGCCGCCCTTCCTTCCTCGCATCAGCTTCCACCAGGAAAGCCTCCGGGGCGGCTCCCCGCCAGCCTCCGCACCCTGCTCCAGCCTGCGGCCGGCCCGCCACGCAGACGAGCCCGACGGGCCTTGGCCCCAGAAAAGGTGACCCCTCGCCCTACCCGCCTGGGGCGCGCTGGGCTCTCCGCACCCTTCCCCTCCGCGCGATTGATTGCCGGGCTGGCCAAGATTCGCTTTCGCGCCTCTCGCGGCCCCTCCCAGTCCCCTGCCGGCCTCCCGCCCCCGCCTGCCCTCCCGGAAAGGGCTGGGGCAAGCCTGCCAGGCTCCATCACTTCCTTCTCCTTTCCCTTCCTCGCAGCCTCCCGCGTCCTTTTTACCTCTCCCTCTTGGAATTTCTTCTCCCTCTAGAACCCCCTATGGCCCCAGCGGCGTCTTTCCCCCATCTCGCTGCCTTTCAGCCGCCCCGCCCCGTTGCTTCTGCCTCCCCTAACCAAGTTAGTTGAATGCTCTCATTCACTCAGGCCTACCCAGGGAAAATGTCACACACTTACGGCACCCAGAGGACACACAGATCACATGCGGGCATACAGACACACACACTCTGTCTGTTTCATGCATCTTGCCTTGACCGCTGGGTGTGCAGGAAACATATTTTTCCTATTTGCTCACCAGCTCAACCCTTTCTCCCAGTTTCACACTCCCACAGCTGCCAAAATATCCCAACAGCAGAATCAGGGAGCCAAGAACCAGGACTGAGGGCTTTTCAGAAACCATCCCCTGGAGGAGTGTCTTTTCACTCCCAAGGATCCCTTCCTGCCAGACTCCATTGATTAACTATTCATTCATTGCCCCATTTTTTATTAATCAAAGACATATATAATTGCCCATAGGAGCTTGTGATCAGCGCGAGGTAGCCAGTCTAAGCGGCTGCCTTACTACCCTTCCAGCCCAGAGCACGTGAGCTGACTGACATCTTCTTTGGCCTGTGCATCCGTTTCCTTGCCAAAAGCCCAGTTTTGGGGGAGAGCTTCTTGCATATTAGATGCAGTCTGCAGACTCCCAAGCCCAGCTTTCTGGTTCCCCTGAGGCCCCAGGAACTCTAGCTATTCCAAGCCCAGTCCTCTTTTTTTTTAAAGAGGAAGAAACAGAAGTTGGTGTAGGGGATGGCCAGAACTGAGTATTTTCCAGATCACCACCAAAGCACAAAAGATAAAGTCTGTGACCCCACCCTAGTGACTTGGCTGAATGGAGGAAGGGATGGCTGGGGTCCTGTACCCTAAGGTACTTGCTAGCTATACAACCGGAGGCAAGCTTTTCTGCTGCTCCACCTGTAAGACGAGCACAACGGTACCTTAATTATAGGAACTGTCATAAAAGAAGTATGAGAGGAATGTACGAGGTCCTTGCACGGCACAGGTGCTGTCGGCAGACTGTAGGGTAGTGGATTTTCTAGTCTGCAGTTATGTAGACAGAGCCAGGGAAATTTGGGGACAAATTTCAAAGGAGCTTGCCAAGGTCACTCTGCGAAGCCACAGCACCTTCCCAACTCTGAAACCTATGCTCTCCTCACCCCGTCTTAACAAATATTTGGATAGAGAAAACAAGTCTTTTCTTAAAGTAACATTATTTACGGGAGAAAAATCCACTAAAATATAGCCGCCCAGGACAAACAGGACTTAAGATCCAAGATTTTGTATTTCACCGCAAGACACAAAGACACTGAAATTCACGCATGCCCTATCTTCTGCTCTGGCGTACATCTTAGTCTCCTGAGGACCTGGGGGATCAGTAAGTGTGGAAGTAGCAAGGGAGAACAGAAAAAAGTCAAAGCAAAGGGAGAGATTTTAGAATGTTAATCTGCAGGAGCCTGTCAGAAAGGTCCGGCTCACGGGCTACCTGCACATCCAGGACTGGAGCACGGGACACAGACAGGTCGTCCAGGGCTCTGTCCACCTTATCTTGTTACCTCTCTTGGCTTTCAGAGCCTCCACTCCACGCCCCCCATCAATGTCACCACCAACACTGATGGAGGCTCCACGCCCCCCATCAATTGTGGAAGACACAGCCTCTATTAACACAAGTCTTACTGAAACTGTTGGAACAGGAAATTAGAATATCCTCTGAACTGTTCCTGCGTTCTTTGGTTCGAATTCCAGCAGCCAGCAAAGGCAGATGCTATTCTATCACTCTCCTCCCTGGCTCTGATGAGGATTAATGAGTAACATCAGAGAAAGGAGTGATTACAATAAGGTCTGACGGCGCACACGCTGTCTTCATCCCTTTTCTCTTCGCCTCCTTCCCCATCATCTCACATCTTTTTTTTTATTGATTCGTTGGTTCAGCCAATACATGTGGCGCCCCAGGCTCTGTGCCAGGTGCTGGGAGTCATAGAAAAGAGATTCAGTGCCCGCCCTCAAGGGGCTCATTCTCTAGTGGGAGAGAGACAAAGAGACCCCAGATATCTGGAGTGAGGGAATAGTCTACCAGGCAGAGACCAGCACAGCACAGTGAAAGGCATGGAACCTCAACAGCACGAGAACATTTGGGGACCAGCTAGAGCACAGGTTGGTGATGAAAGTGGCAAGATTTGAGGCCAGCGTCACCGTCTAAATGAGGGCATTAAGATTTCAGCCCACATCAAACAATCATGTCCTACTGATTTCACCCCTTAATACCGCTCCTATCCATCCTTGGCCACTGCTCCAGGCAGGCACTCATCATCTCTCTCACAGGCATCATCTGCATCTAAACCATCGTCATTCTGCTGCAAGAGTTTATTTCCATGGTTCCTGCTGGATGACATCCCTTAGCTGCTCAAAACCCTTCTGAGGTCCAGTTAACTGGCTGGTAAGGACCAGTCCAGGTTCTGGGGATGCCAGCCATGGGACATTGCTTTGAGGGAAAGAGGGAGCACAGAACTGGGTCTCCTGCATCCTACCCAAGTACCAATGCTGGAGGGGGTTTTCCTTCCCATCATCAGCAGATCTGGATATCCAGGATCCACCCTATGGGTGTTTTGTTTTGGTTTTTTTTTTTTTTTTTGAGACGGAGTTTCACTCTTGTTACCCAGGCTGCGGTGCAATGGTGCGATCTCGGCTCACCGCAACCTCCGCCTCCTGGGTTCAGGAAATTCTCCTGCCTCAGCCTCCTGAGTAGCTGGGATTACAGGCACGCACCACCATG